TTCGAATTAAGTATTGTTTTCGTGACTACCAGTAAATCAGTAGTATGAGATGTATTCACCCAATTTCATTCAAGGTGATGTAGGACTGGTAGAAGAATTTACCCACCAGGATATGAGTAAAGCTGACGTTTCCATTTAATCTCTCATATTTTTCGAATTAAGTATTGTTTTCGTGTATACCAGCAAATCAGTAGTATGAGATGTATTCACCCGATTTCGTTTAAGGTGATGAAGGACTATCAGAAGAAGATTTTCCCCACAAAGATATGAGTAAAGCTGACGTTTCCATTGAATTTCACATAGCCTTGCTTTGCCAAAAGGTGTTCTCATCCCGGCCGGAGTGGACTGCAGTCTCGACCTCGCATCGGTCAAGCTTCATCGACAATCCCACCAAAGGATATGATATCGCAAAAGGCCTGGCCTTGCTTGAAATTCGTATCTTTCCCGTGAACAACGGGCACTCGTGGCAATGTAGTCGAGTGGTTAACGTATCAAGCTACAATTCTGCACTGTCACCGTTCGACTCCTGCTGGGGATTTTAATAGGACCTAAGCGAGGTCGAAACTGAAGTTCACTTTAGTCGGGATGAGAACAACTTTTGGGAAAACAAAGCAATGTGAAATTGAATGGAAACGTCAGGTCTACTGACATCGCTGTGGGAGAATTTGACTACCACTGCTTCATCACTTTACACGGAATAGGGTGAATACATCTGAAGTAAATCATAGTACGGCTTTACTGGTAGTCTCGAAACTCTACTTAAACTATGAAAAATAAGAGACTGCTGTCGAAAGTGCGGATTTGGAACGCGGTTATCATTTTGAAAGTAGATCTTCTCGACTTCCAATAGATCTGAAATAAGAGTTGTATTCACCCTATGTCGTTAAAAGCGATGAATGACTGTTAGTTGATATTTTTCTCATAATCCTTCAAGTAGACCTTAAGTTTCCATTGAATTTCACATAAGCTTGCATATCCTAAAGATATGCTCATTCCGACTGGAGTGAACGGCAGGTTTAACTTCGCCTAAACTCATCTCATCCTCGCGCCCAGCGGGACTCGAACTAGGAAAATATCAAATGTAGTCAATTGCCATAGCAAATACAACTTTGTCTTGTCGATAATGCCTCCACAGAAATGTGGTATCGGAAAAGACTAATCCATCTTGAAGTTAACTTTTGCTGTGTGACCCGAGGATACTTCTGGTAGTCTCACGTGGGGGTTAACGTGTCGAGACTATACACTGCCGGTTCGAGTCCGGCTGGCGGTTGTGATGAGACCAGTTCAGACAGAGTCGAAGCCACAGCCTAGTCGAGCCATCTGAAATTCCAAACGAGCATGAGACCCAACTGTCAGATTATGCGAAAATGCAACTACCAATTCTTTATCACTTTAAATTAGATACGGTGAATACAGCTTCTATTCACGATTTTCAGCTGGAAATAACCAGCCGGAATTTGGGCGCTCCTTCACATCTAGCTGGGACAATCGAGCGTGTTATCAAACGTCCCATCGGTCAGACACACATCCCGTTTACCAACCTCCTCGACTCGGAGCTTAGCAACAGTGTTGCTGCACTCCTCTTGACACCGCTTCACGGATGGATCGGACTCCTGAGACCGTCTTTCACGGCGGCGTCCAACTTGGCGACAGGTCAGATCGGATAGATTGGGGTCGCTGGACGAAGAATGGAAGGTTCGTTGGCACAGCCCATATCGTTGTCAGTCATACACCAACATAAGCTCCTATTCAAGCTTACTCAATAAGGCAACAAGTAGCGATTGTAATAGCTTTATCCACAATCCCACCATACAGACACGTTATGGAAAGACCTCTTCCTTGTCACTCGTGACAGTGTGGCATGTTGTTGACACTAGCGCTACACATGCTAGAATCCTGTTTTGAGTGTGGATGAGAAGAGTTCAGGTGATTTCGAAGCTAAAGTCACGTCGGATCAGGGTAAATATACCTTTTGGAAAGCAATGATGCGTGAAATGCAATAGAAACGTGAGGCCTACTCATCTGATTGTGGGAAACATTCAGCTGTCAGTGCGTCATCATCCTCTGCGACTTTAACTCGCTTTACCCGACTCTGACTGACAAAGTTCTCATTGAAGAATGACTGTTTGTCCCGACACTTACTGCCGAGTCGACAGACTCATTGTCACATTTATTTCCATTACAATCTTCAGTAAAGCTGAACCTAATTCTGACCTTTCGGCGACCCATTTTGCCACGTCAGAGTACGACCGGCCTATCCACAGGCCGGACGTCATGCAACCGGACATTCAACAGAAATGCAACTTCAAGCCGGACTCGGGTCTGGCTGGGCCGTTTGTGGAACAGGATCAAGACGAAATCACACTGAAGACAACCGGTTGCTGTGAAAGAGCCGATCATAACAAGTGGGGCAGGCGAATTGTGCGATCATCGCCGCGGAGAAGATGGAGGCAACACATGCGCCGCTGCCAGCACGGGGCAGCAAGAAAGCCGGATTGGAAGCAGTGGAACACACATTTTTTCAACTGTTATACCAACCTACGCTCGACTAAATAAGTAGACATAAAAATAGTAGTAGGTTACAACAACGATCGATAAGTGTGCACCAAAACAACTAACCTCTATCCGGTGCACAGTTTACCTACAACACACATAGAAACAAGAGACCTCAAATGCAAACACACATGCGCAGAAACACATACACAAATTAGCATACAGACACATATACACGACGACTG